ACATCATTATTGGTCTCCCAACTAACGGAATCCCGATAAGATAAACAAAGAATAAAAGTAAGTTTTTAACAACAAAAAACACTCCCATGTTCATGCTACTCACTATGGTCGTCGCCACACCTGCAAAGATACCTCCTGAGATATCATTTAAGAAAGCCGTTGACAATGCAAGGCGGCCCAATTCCGAGTTGAGGATTCCAATGTCTCTTAGCAAAGAAGCAATGACGGCAAAAGAACAACTACTATGAGATATAACCACAATGGGTAAATTATAAGTTTGTACTTCACCAAATAAATGTATCCAGATTGGGAGGGTAAGAAATATGAAGATGAAACCAACTATTATGGGTAAATAATGGGAAAGAAGAGCAATGACCCAAGATTTTTTTCCTGTTTTTGTTATTAATGTGAAGTCCATTTGAACCGAGTTTATGAATAAGAAAAATGCGTAACCATAAGATGATACTGTGTTTAGTATGTCTGGACCACCAAATGGGAATAACAACTTTTTGTATTCATCTAGTGGTCCTAATGGAATAGAAGGACCCAGAAGAAATCCAGTCTGCACAAATAAAACAATCAATTATTCTAATATAATAAAGTTTATTCAAAAATAGAAGGCACACACTACTCCAAAAGTGTATATATATATATATATATATATATATATATATATATATATATATATATATATATATATATATATATATATATATATATATATATATATATATATATATATATATATATATATATATATATATATATATATATATATATATATATATATATATATATATATATATATATATATACACACACACACACACACATACGCGCGCGTACCATGACTTGTGAAATGAAACAAGAGAATCCTAAGCGCTTGAGAAAGAAATGAAAGAATTGTGTGATAAAAAAGATGACAATAATTTGAGTCTCAAGCATTGTAAATGAAGATTTAGGAGGAACAACAGTGTGATTAGCCCATACTCCTTCAGCTATTATCATTTGTGGTTGTTCGATGCAAACATTATAGACTTGATAATATGGTATTCTCTTTTCAATAGGCAACGCAATAATTGAAGTGAATAAACTTTTGGAGGAGTTCATCTTTCCTCCCACAAATCACTAAATCAAATTAATTGCTTGTAAACACAATATTAGTAAGGATTATATATATATATATATATATATATATATATATATATATATATATATATATATATATATATATATATATATATATATATATATATATATATATATATATATATATATATATATATATATATATATATTATATATATATTTATATATATATATATATATATATATATAATATATATATATAATATATATATATATATATATATATATATATATATATATATATATATATATATATATATATATATTATATATATAAACTACCAATTATATCATACAAGGAATTACGCAACTATACCAAATTAGGAGGCTACAACTTAACACGTTACAAATTTGATATTGCGAGCTTGGAATCTTAGGTGTCACACTAATTAAAACTACCTATATATGCTTTCTTGACAGATATTTATCTTCAAAATATCAATTCTTTATTGGAACAATCAATTAAATTTAAATAATTTAATTTTGGGATTAAAAATAACAAATCTAAGTGTTCCAAACATTGATCGTGTTGGTACATGAATCTCATACCATGCGACTTTGCTATGTTAAAATTTGTAAGCTAAACATAGGTTTTTTAACAGATTTCCTAGAAGGGACTAAACTTAGGTTTTCAAAAATAGCTAAATTCTTTTTATTTCAAATTAACACAAAAATCTTATAAATTAAGATAGATTTAGAAAATACCCTCAACGGCGGAGCAACAATGATAGGTCATCATTCACAAAGTAAATAAGGTGCATTGATAAAACTTACAAAAATGTATTAAACCTTTATTGAATGATATAAACATATGTTAAAAGTTTTTAGTAATTCAAGTTTGTGTAAATGGTTAACATAAGGTGTAACATGTTACATGCATAAAAAAGGGTCAAAGAAGCTGCATAAAAGTGGTTTTGAGGTTGGTGTAACCGGTTACACAAACACGGTAACTGTTTACAGTTGATAGTTATTTATGTTTTTGTAATAACTGTAACCGGTTACAGATTTATGTTAACCGGTTATAGCTTTGAGTTTTTGAATTTTATGATTTTTGGCTTGATGCTTTTGTATTCCAACACTTGTATATATACCATGATGGTATGTTTGTGATGAATAATGAATGAAATAGTAAAATTATCACCCTCAATTATCTCTCTTTCTTACCTCTCATTCCTCACTATCTCTTTCTCCATATACTCAAAATTTTAATTGTTTATCAATTTTATGATTGAATGTTCCAAAATTTGGCATCAAGAGTCTAGTTCTGATGCACAAACATATAATGTGCAACATTAATTCTGTCTCCAATGATATAATCCATACAAACCTACTTCTCCTTGATGCGAATAATCATTACAAATAGTGCAAGTAAATGAAGGTGTTATTTGGCTACCAAGATGTTCTTGAAGGGATTAAGAATGAGGTGAATCCCCTTGAAGAAGATGAAATGAATGCATAATGAGCAATGCATAAGGAGGAGAAGAATAAAGATTACAAGGAGTTATTTTTTTATCCATCAATGTGTGGATGGTGACAACTTTGAGAAAGTTGGTGATTGTGAGTCATCAAAACAAGCGTGTGAAATCTTTGAAAAGACATATGCATGGGCTGACAAGGCAAAGATGGTGAGATTACAAACTCATAAACGTTAACTTGAAGTTGGAGAGGCCTCTACCTTGATGGTTAGATTTTCCACGTCCCTCGCCTAGTTTTTGCTTAAATTTCTCATTTATCTGTTGAATACTGGTGTTGGTGAACAAGATCTTGACAAATTTAGTGATGAGGGAGTTGCTCAATTGTCTTTCTTGTTGCAAGACATGAGAATACCTTAGTGACATCACGTAGAGGCTCAACCATGAGGATATTGGATTTGAAATTAGTGAAGTTTTCATTCAAAACCTTCAAGAAGAAAATAACATATTGAATATCCCATTTCTTTTTTATATTGATGGTGCCTCCACACGTGTAGGTAGGTAGTGCTCTAAGTGTATCTAAATCTTACCATAGAGTCTTCAACTCATTGAAGTATGAAATCACAGTTTTATCACATTGGTGAACGGAATGCATATGTTGTAATAAATCAAATAAGAGAAAATGATCACCTTTTGAGAATCTATTAGAAATATTTTTCTAGAGTTGAGCTGCATTACCAATATAGATAGTGCTTTGGGAAACATTAGGCGATAAAGATGTGGAAATCCATGCAAGAACAATGTTCTTGCACCATTTCCCATGTGTCGAACAAGGTATCATCCTCAGCGGGTGCAGTGATTTTGCCATTGATGAATTTGATCTTGTTATTTCTTAATAGGGAATGCTTCATAGATCGAATCCAAGATTCATAGTTGTTTTTTGGAAAGAGGTGGGTGAAGCACCTCTAAAAATACTAAGACAATGAAGTCACCACTGGACTTTATTCATCCCAAAGAGGGAAAGGAAAATATCAAGAAAACCTCTAAGATGGGAAAGAACATGGTTTTGCGACTGAGAGAAGGGTACGGAAGTCGATTACACAAGGAGAAGGTATTAACATCCTTCATGCCCGTGGTACTCCACGGGAATCACTCTTGTTGTTCTAATCTAAAGGATGTAATATCTAATGCTAAACTTGCTAAAGGAAAATGCATGAATGAATTATTTGGAAAAAGAAAAGATTTTTGTTATTGCTTTCGTTCGAGTTTTGCAACTCAATACTTACGTATCCCACGAAGGAATTAGAACATCATAGTTCTTCTAAAAAAATTTGGTTTGTTGTGGGGTTTTTATAGATGATGCTAAGTTCTAATTCTAGTAAATAGGTGTTCGCCGCTCGACCTTTGGAGACTCATATGTTACCTGTTTACGGTAGAAAATAATTAATATGTCCATTTTGAAAAGGTTTTAAAGAGAAAATGAAATAGGCAAAAAGTTTGGATTTGTGAAATGTTTTTGTTAGGAGAAATATCTTAAGTGGTTCCCTTAAACAAGGGATACTTAAGTCTTTCATTCTTTAATTTTTGAAAGTGTTTGAAATGTACTTTTAGATTTTTTGGATTTTGATTAAAGAAAAGAAATATTTATTTTAAAATGATGCAAAAGAAAACTCTAAGGGAAGATTTGATCCTAATTGTTATCATGTAAAGATAGACATAAAGTTAATTTTGAAGTGGGGAAATTCTATCCTAAAGTTATATTGCAATTGTGATCAAGACCTAAGTATATGGTATGTTTAATTTCAATTTAATCAAGAAAACTTAACTAAATTGAATTAAAACGAAACTTATGGGAACATGCCATTAAATCAACCAAACACACAATCAAAACAAAAGTAATAAAATTCTAATATTTTTATGATCTTTATAGTGAAAGAAACATTAAAAGGAAATCAAAATCCTATTCTAATATTTTTTTATGCAAAGAAATATTAAAATAAAATTTAATGAAGAGAAAATAAAATAAAAATAAGGCAAGCAAATAAAAAGGAGGGTGTAAAGCATGAACTTGGTGTATAGAAAAGCAAAGGCGTTAGGGCCCCAACAGTAGGATTCAATATGAGTTTTTTTGTGTGCTAGGCAAGTGGTGTGATAAAAAATGGTGTAGAGGGTCAAAGGGAGGTAAGCTCAACGGTCAAGCCCAACAATTTTGTTCATCCCACTAACACACCAATTTTATTTTACGTTGATTCAAATTTTTAGCTTTATTATCCAATTAATAGAATTTAAAAAGAATTGAAAAAACATAAAATAAAATAGTGGACATCTAAACAAATACGTTCACCCTAGGGTTCAAGTTGTGATGATTTAACTTATTTTGAAAAACTCTCTTCTCCGGCGCTCACAAACTTGAATCACCTTCTTCTTTCTTCTTCTCCGATGCCAGACCAAGTAAGGTCATCGACAACTCCACAAACACCCCACGCTTGTCGTCTTCCTCTCTTATTTGTCTATGTCTCATCATCGCGTCTCACTTTCTTCTCAAATCATAACTTCTCACACGCCAGTTTTGATTCAACCAAACGAAAGAAACGTACATCAAAATCTAAAGGAAAAGGTTTAAGAATGTTACCTATCAGAGACAAGTCCTATGACTATTCAATTGTGATAGAGACGAGAAATATAGAAAAATATGCTCAGGTGTGTGTTTCGTATTCGATTCTTCCTCTTATTCGACTTCTTCTATCTTCTTATTTGGTTTCCGGCCTTGGAACTTCTTAATCCGCTTCTGAGTTTGTTGTTGTTATCTGCTTGTCCTTATGCGGGTGTCTAATGCGATTTGGGTGAGGTGCACATGAACATGTCTAGTATGTATGATGGTCGTGAGGTATTGATGGAAACATAGGGCAAGGTTTGATGTTTGTGAAGGGAAAGGTTGACCAGAGTGAAGGTTGGAGTTTTGTAGGAATATGGATCATGGCAAGGTTTTCTTGGGAAGAGGTTAGAGTTTTTTTTTGTATGGATTGAAAATTAGCAGGGTGAGGGTTATGGTTTAAGGTTGGATGCGATTTTGAGGGACTATGGAGTGGATGTTCTGGTTATTTTCAGCAGGGTCAGTTTGAAAGGATAGTGAAGTTAAGGGTCTGTAAGTAAGGTTGTTACAGGGATAATATGGACTGGATGATTCTGCAGAGTTTGTGGTTATGAGGTGTAAGGATGGTTGAAGGGTGGTTTTGATTTAAGAGTTTATGCAATATATGTTTGTATGGATTTTGCAGGGTGGTTTTCAGATGGATTTTGACCAGAGGGGAGGGTTTTGTTGGCGATTCTCCAAGGTGTGAAGAGAAGATGGAGCTGGGTCCCTTTGCTTCTTGTTGTCTTCTGTTTTTATAGCATAATGAGGGATGAATTGGAGGGAAAATTGGAGCCAAGGTTTTGAAATGAAAACTAGTTTTGGTGTACTGATTTATACCTTCTCTTGTAGTAGATTTGTTTTACCTATTTTGATGCAGTTTTTGGCTGGTTTATGGGCTGGTTTTAGTGCATGGCAGCAACATGTTTTTTTGTGGCAAGTTTTGTAAGGTTTATGGACAACAACTAGTGGCAAAGTGGTTTGGTGTATCAAGCATGGCAAAGTTGGAGTATGGACATGAAGCAAAGCTTTGGATCAAGTGAAGCTTAATATTTAGGAATTCATGAATATGCATGAGCTTGTAATGTTCCATTTTTGTTTCATGACGTAGTGGCTTTTGAATGGTGTAATATGAGTCTTAAATTTGAAATCTTGTATGAACGTGGATGGAATTAAATGGGAATTGTTTTCAACACGCTTGAATGCTTTTTGATTTCATGTGCTTTGTGTAATGTTGTAAAGGCTTTGTAATGAACATGATGTTTGGATGATCTTGATGAATCGATAAATATCCTTAAAACTTTGATAACCACTTGAAATTATTGAATGAATCTCAATGATGAATTTGAATGGATCTTTAATTTTTAATGAACTTGATTCTTTGTGATTCCACAAGTTAAATAGTTTGTAGTTGCTTTAAAAATCAAAAAGAAAATTCGATTCAACACTTTGTTTCAAATGTAAAGAACCATGAATCCAAATGAATCTCTTAATCACACTCTTGATTCCAAATATGAATTTGCTAGTTTTTTCGACCATGAATGAATATGTGAACATTAATCATAACTTTGGTCATATGGTACCTAGAGACGCCATCTCATACTCCCACAAGAATTCGAATCAAGATCAATCATGCCATGCTTTGAATTTTTTTAACCAATTGATGAAATTCAGAAGAATTCCATTTATCCATTATCCTTAATGCCCTACATTATAAGCAACAATTTGTTGAAGAAACCACTCTTGAATCATGGTACAAAACCCTATCTTAATGGATTGTAAGATAGACGAATCATTTATACAAACCACAATTTACACCTTATAGTTTAAGCGACAAGTGACTCTTCTGAATGATAAAATATGGCTCTTAAATGATGACTCACTAGACGAACCATATCTTGACCAAATAATGAAAGCCACATAAGATAAGATGACTTGATCCATAAGCCACAAAGAAGCCCTTGAGCCAAAGTTCACACTCTTAAGATTTTTAACAAAACACGTGTAGTCAGAATATCAAGCTTAAAATGTTGAAGAATAGAGGCTCTAGATAGCCACAAACTCAAACCATAATACACTAATCCTTAGTTGAAGAAGTGATAACCCTAATTCACTTGTCTCAGATGATTAATGGAGAAGACAACTTAAGATGTAAAGGAAGAAGTAAACCCTAACTCAAAAGATTCTCCTCTGAAGTATTGGATGAAACCCTGACACCTTGATGCTCTTGAAGGAACCTTGTTGTAACTTGATGAAAGAAGAAACTCGCACACAAACCTTAGTCTCATAAAACCCTAATTCTTTGACCTTAGGTAGGGAAATAAACCCTAACCTTTGCCTTGAGGAATTTTTATGGAGAAAATCCCTGTAGCTGGAAAAATAAGAAGCCCCTGATAACCATACTTCAAAACCTTAATAGATGAAACTGATTTTTTGATGAAAAAGCCTCAAAACCATTGTGAGACCCTAGCTGGTACAAACACTGCTTCTTGAAACCATGCCTCGTTCAGTGAAATGAATGATATGCAAATGACCTTGTGAAAATGATGCAAGTGAAATGCAAAGCCTAAGCCAAAGAAAGGTAAATTTTGGAGGGAGAATTTTGGGGTGCAACAGTTGCCCCTATTTAATCATCTTAAATCTGAAGGTGAGATTGGTGCTACCCTTTCGAACATTCAAGGTAGAAGAGGATTAAATACTAAAAGAATCGAAAAATTTACGCTCTGAGGAACAAAAGGGTGATATATTGTTTTTGGTGATTTTGTATGGATGATATCCTAACAAGACTTTCAAAGCTATGAAGAAAAGATGCCTTTAATGGTGTTCCAACCGAAGGTTTTTTTTTAGAAAAAAAATGTCAACTAATATGGACTTACAGAGCAAAGAAATGATAATAGACAAAGGTGGATTTTAAAAGGGGTACTAATCAAAATTGGGTTTTTCAAAGGTTGCCAACCGAAGTTGGGCTTCAAGAGGTAGTTGGGTATTTGCAAAAGCCAAAACTATATTGATCCCACAGGCCAAAGGCAAGGTATAATTCTCCCGGAGCGGCAATCATTTGGATTTCCAAACACAAATTAAGGCCTCCAAAAAAACTGACAAGAAAGAAAGGTTATACACCAACTCTTTGTCACGCTCTAACTACAAAGAGCATATATGGGTAAAAATAACCGACTCCGAATCTTTGAGAATCGAAACAAGACTCGACTAGGGATATAAGTCATAATAGACTCTAATGGGAAAATAATTTTGGAAAAAGGTGAACAAATAATTTTGGATAGTAAGGACTTGTAATGTGGTAATGATGCTAATACAAGATGTTTTTGTAATTAGGCAGGAGTGCTTGAGATTAACATATATGGATGTTTAATGAAAGAGACACAAACGAGTGTTTAATGAAAGAGACACATATGAGTGTCTAATAAAAGAGACATATATGAGTGTTTTGAAAGAAAGACACAAATGGGTGTTTAAAGAGAGACAAAGACGAGTGTTTAAACAGAGACACATATGGGTGTTTAAAGAGAGACACAGACGAGTGTCTTGAAAGAAAGACACAAATGGGTGTTTAAAGATAGACACATATGAGTGTTTAAAGAGAGACACAAACGAGTATCTTGAAACAGAGACACAGACGAGTGTTTAAAGAGAGACACAAACGAGTGTTTAAAGAAAGACACAGACTAGTGTTTAAAGAGAGACACATACGAGTGTTTAAAGAGAGACACACACGAGTGTTTAAAGAAAGAGACACAAACAAGTGTTTTGAAAAAAAGGCACAGATGTGTGTTTTGAAATAAAGACACAGACGAGTGTTTAAAGAAAGAGACACAGGCGAATGTTTTAAAAGAAAGACACAAATGAATGTTTTAAAAGAAAGACACATACAAGTGTTTAAAGAAAGAGACACGGACGAGTGTTTAAGAGGTGATTTTTTATCTTGTGTGACACAGAAAGGTGTAGGGAAGCAAGTTTATTGAGTTAAATATCTTAGGAGATCCTTTGGAGATAGTAGCTGGAGATTTGTAGGGATACCACCTTCTAGCTTATGCTTCACATGTATGTTTGAATTTTACCATGATGTAATGACCCTTTTTACAGGATATTCTATGCATTTTGAGGATGTAATATGATGCAGTGATTACTATATGCAAGATGTATGATATGAAAAAATCCTTTGGGTAAATCATGGTGGTATGATATCTACGGGGAGTAATAAACTAGATTGTTAATAACCAATGGGCTGCAAACTCTGTTAGGATACCATAAGATCCATGAAGAGAACTCTTGTGACTTCTCACCATCTTCAAACTGCTTGGAGAATATTCGATCATTACTTACTGTTGGGAATGAGAAAACCTTTCAAGAAAACTCTAGTTGGGGAAGAACCTCCACGGGGAGATGAAACCTGAAACCCTCATCGGTAGAGAATTTCTTGCCCCAAGTTAACCATGATGATGAATTGCACTAATTATGATAGTTCCTCTGACTCATAACTCGTGCCTCCAGGATGCAAGGTCTGTGATGAATTTTGCCTCAGGAAAACTTCTGGGACCATTGTGACCTACAATAGTTTTCCTCATTATCTTCTAGCTTTGAGATAATTCCTCCAATTTGACGGATCTTGGAAACAGTTCTTCTGAGTATCTGATACCTAGAGTGGTTTTACCAATTATGAAGTGACTTCTTTTGATAGCCTGGCTCTTTGAGAGATTCGGAGAATCTTGACTTAACTTTCCCAAATCAAGTGATTCTTAGAGATATTTAAATCTCGACTTGATTTCCCCAGATTGTATGAACCTATCATATCCTTTGCTCAACAGAGACTTCAAACTCGCCCCCTTTTCAGGGTACTCGAACTGTGAACACAACTTTCTTATGCTCAACGGGTTCCCTAGTCAACATGCCTCTTGTGACTATTCTCTGAAATAATTGGCTCTTTACTTAAAGGAATTTGAAAGATCAAACTTTTCAACTGATGTTCATTATGTAAGCTCCCTTGGCATTAAGCAAATGTTTGTAAACAAAAAAATTTTTATTTTGAAAATGATGACTTTTAATGCAACACTTATGTAAGTCTTTAAGTTTTTATTGAAAAGATGTCGCGAAACCTTTTTGTGAATGAATCACTAGTTAGAGTGCAATATCAATTTTAGTAATAAAGATAATGCGAGCATACAATACCAACACAAACATTTTAGCACACATCATGGGAGTCATTTAAACATCATCTCATTGTAGTATGCTTTAGACAAAAACCCTGCTCAATTAGAACTTTTGAGGGTTGTAATATGACATGGTTCACGATTTAAAAAAAGGATTTAAGGATCAAAGTTTATTTGTATCCACCCATTCTCCTTGATGTTCTCCAGTCCTACATTCATCTCACCTCTCAAAGGATTTTGTGATGGTTAAGGAACCAATGTGATTTTCAAAGTGGTGGTCACTCACCTTTTATTCTTGGTGTCTGATCAAAAGACTTTGTTCTTTGCTTGAGGATTCTTGTACTGTAATCCTTTCTCACTTTTCGCGCTGTTGTACCCCAAAATTTTCCCTCCCATATTCTTCAAGATTTGCTAAGAGCATGCTTCAAAATCTCCCAAAGGTTGCACAGTCCAATGGCCTCCTAACAGTCAAAAATTAGGGTTTTGGTTCTGGCAAAGAAATTGAAGTTTCCAAGGGTCCAATCAAGTCCCACATGCCTATAAACATTGTCAAGAATCCATATGCCAAGTTTCAAGACTCACAACACAAGATTGCACAGTCAAAAACCCTAATTGCTCAACAGTCAACTATAGGGGCAAAATGGTCATTTGACAGTCAAAAGTCAAAATTTTTGGTAAACATCTTATTTTGAAGCCACAAACATCATTTGATCAATTCTTGATCATGATTCTCAAGGCATGGCTCGAAAAGTCTCAAGATGCAAAAGTTTCTATCTTTGGACAATTGAAAAAGTCAACTATAACTTGACCAAGGCATAACTTCCACATGGTTTATCAGAAAAATTCCATACAAAGCTCATTTTGAAGAGAATGACATT